CACACACACACACACACACACACAAATAATCATATATACACACCAAACACTTATCCCCACACACTCATATCACATGCACACACATACTCATGTACACTGATAACAAAATCTAAAAATAAAGCCAGGTGGTGGTGGCGCATGCCTCTAATCCCAGCATTCAGAAGGCAGAGGCAGGTGGATCTCTGAGTTCAAGGCCAGCCTGATCTACTGAGTAAGTTCCAGGACAGCCAGGACTATACAGAGAAACCCTGTCTCAACAAAATTAAAACTAAAACCAAACCCAGTTTTTTTTTTTATCATGTACACTGATAACAAAATCTAAAAATAAAGCCAGGTGGTGGTGGCACACGCCTCTAATCCCAGCATTCAGAAGGCAGAGGCAGGGGGGGCTCTGAGTTTGATCTACTGAGTAAGTTCCAGGACAGCCAGGACTATACAGAGAAACCCTGTCTCAACAAAATTAAAACTAAAACCAAACCCAGTTTTTTTTTTCTAAAAACAATAAAGAATTAGAGCTAAATCTGGCTCCACAGCCTGAGGTCTCAAACTCCACTGCTGGTTCACATTGTATTTGTCCACCTGAGCTCTGCCACCAGCGCTGTCACCACCAGCACTGTCACTTCCAGCAGCAGCCCCCTCCGTGATCCCCATCTCTGTACCTGGATAAACTCGGTTCCTGTGGGTAGTGGCCACTGGGGTCTTCGGAGGTCAAGCAAGATGACAGAAGTGCCTCTCTTGGCCAGGCTGGAGCCCAGGCTGAAGCCCAGGTAGCCTCCTCCTCCAGTCACCAGAACCTTCTGTCTGGGGGTCTGTGTGGGTTTGGCCTGAGTCTTCTGCTGCTGTGCTGGTTCTGGGGTTGTCACTGATTCACTGGGATTAGAACCAGTCCCAGAGCCTCGTCTGGTCCCAGGCCCTAGCCCCAGTCCAGGTAATGGTGCAGGTCCCGGCCTAGGTACTGACTCACTTTCTAGCTGAGGTACTGGCCCGGCTCCTGTCCCAGCTCCTGGCTGAGGTACTGGCCCAGGTATTGACTCAGCTCCTGGCCTGGGTCCAATCCTAGCTCCTGGTCCAGGTAATGGTCCCTCTGCTAAAGCAGGTCCCAGAGTAGCAGCAGGCCCTGAAGTAGCACCAGGTACTAGGCCAGTCACAGAAGCAGTGCTAGGTCCTGACCCAGACCCTGGGACAGCCCCAGGCCCTGGCCCAAGACCTGACCCCAACCCTGAAGCAGACCCCAGGCCTGAGACCCCTCCACAGGCCTGGCAGACAGGGCAGCTCTTCTCGCCCTGGCCTGCAGCTTGACAGGTTCCTAGTGAGGAGCCCACAGGGTTGGTCTTCATCCTCTATGAAGCCATGCAGCCTAGAGGCTGTCCACCTGTGGAGGAAAACAGAAGAATGTTCTAGGGCCACTCCAAGGTACACCTCAGCGGGTCCTTAGGACTAAGGGGAACTTCAGGAACACTTGTGTCTCATAGATCTTTCAGGGCTCCAGACTTCCAGAGCCCCAAGAACCTTCATGTGGCTGTTGGCTCCTTAGGGAGTCAGAGAAGGCAGCCTATCCTTTGACTTCATAGCTGGGGAGACTGAAGCTCAAAATCATGTTGTATACACTAAGCACTCCTGATTTCCCCACAGGCCCTGTGTAGCACCAGAGGAAGGCAGAGTCAGTCGCGCCTAGGGGGGCCTCACATACTGGGTGTGGTGTTATCTGACTAGGAATGGGGGCAAGAAAGAGGAGAAGGAAGAAAAGTTGGAGAAAGAGGAGGGGGAGGCAGAGGAGGTGAAGGAATAGAAGGGAGAGAAGGGCAAGAGGAAGAAGAGGATGAGAGGGAGGAAGAGGAGGAGGAGGGGAATGAAGGAAAGGAGGGACAGTGAGAGAAGGGAGAAGAGGGAGAAAGGAGGGAGGGGAGGAAGAGGGAGAGGAGGAGAAAAAGAAGATGGAGAAGGGAAGAAGGGAGAAGAGGAGGAGCAGGAGGATGAGGAAGGAGAGGACAAGAAGGGGGAAGAGGAAGAGGAGGAGGAGGAGAGAGGAGCCACGTGGGACTTAAGGGGCTCAGGATCTGGAAACTGGTCTATGATCTCCAAGTCTGAAGCCACTCCTGATACCAGTTGCCCTATGAGCAGCTGGCTGATTCCACACAGTCTGTCCAAGTCCCCTGAAGCCTTCCAGGTCAGGTGGGTGGGCCCCAGGGACCAGCATTGAGAATCCTGTCCTCCTCATTCTAGACCTATAGCTAACCCAGGCTCAGTCAACTGCCATGGTCTTTCCTACAATGATCAACCCGAGCATCAGGCTAGCCCAAGGGCTGGGTCATTAACATTATGGAAGCAGTGACTGCACTGCAGGCCTTCTATGTGCCAGCCTATGGCCTGCATGGTGCATAATGACCGCATAAAAGAGCAGGTGTTTGTTGAGTGACTGACTGACCAATGAGCTGTTGCTTGTGGTGGTCACAGGACAGGGACCCTGGCAGTTATAAGAACTATGCCTATGTCTCTTCTGTCATTTTCCTGTGCCTTTTGGGATAGGAATGCAGTCATGTCCCACATAAGTGTTAGGGAAGGGCATCCCAAACTAGAGTTATTAGGGACGATATCTAATCCCCCACCCTGCCCTTCAACCAGGAGACAAGATGTAGCTTCAGAGGGAAGACACGTCTCCCAAGGCCCAGATGACTCTTCTGGGGAAGGGTATATGGGTATTTATGGTGGCAAAGGCTGGGTGTGCCCTTGGGTAAAATGCTTAGAACTTCACTGTGCCTCAGTATACGCAGCTGTGAAATAGGTCCAAATCATTGGCTGCTCCGAATTCCTTACACAGTGGTCTCAAGAGAGCAGATACCAACATCTTTGCAAATCACCTCAATGCAGGCTGCATGAAGGGTTTGCTGACTGCATCTCCTGTGCCTGGAACAGTGCCTGGCTAACTGTTAGGAGAATAAACAGGGACTTTTTCCTCAGGGGAGCATTATAGCTAAGCTAGGAGTGAACCTAGTTATGGCAGGGCTAAATTCTCCTGGCAATCTCAGGAAGTATAAGCTACTGTTCTATTACCCAGAAGTGGAAACTAAGGCCCAGAAAACATCAGAGAATTAAGAAAGAGTTACAACAAAAGGTTGGCTGTGGTGATGCACACCTGTAATATCAGGATTTTAAAGACCTACACTGGAGGATTGCCATGAGTTTGAGGTCAGCGTGGGTTAAAAAAAATAAGTTTCAGGCCAGCCTGGAATACAGTCTCAAAAAACAAGTAACATGGCCAGCCAGATGGCTCATATCTGCCAGCTTGGCTATGTGAGTTGGATCCATGAGTGAGAGTAGAAAAAGAAAAAATTGACTTCAGAAAGTTGTCAATGGCAAGTGTGCCCCCATCTCTCTCTTCTTCTCTCTCCTCTCTCTCTCTCCTCCTCCACCTCTCTCTCTCCTCTCTCTCTCTCTCTCTCTCTCTCTCTCTCTCTCTCTCCCACACACACACACACACACACACACACACACACACACACACACACACACACACACGAGTAATCATAGTGTAGTTATCGTAGTAGCAGTAGTAATATTAAAAGCTAACAAAAAATGAAAATGGTTAAAGGGTTTAGTCCTTAATCCAGGTCCATGGAGACACTAGCGAGGCTGGGTTTGATGAAAGGATTTGGGATTCGCAGGGACCCAGGCCTTCTGGTGGCAGACTGAGCACGTCCCACACATCTGATGGATGGGGGCGGATCCCCATCCCAGGTCCTCTTGGCTCTCCTTCCCGGCCACCACGCTCCACTCTGCACTCACCTGGCTCGGGCTCCCACGGCGCTGCGGGCCTCTTGTGCCTCTTAGGTCTCGGCGCCAAAGCCAGCACCACCCGGGTGACTGAGTGACTGCTGGTGTTGGGCTGGCTGGGGGACCGCCCCGCTGGGTGGCTCCCGCCCAGCGTGGGTTAAAAAAAATAAGTTTCAGGCCAGCCTGGAATACAGTCTCAAAAAACAAGTAACATGGCCAGCCAGATGGCTCATATCTGCCAGCTTGGCTATGTGAGTTGGATCCATGAGTGAGAGTAGAAAAAGAAAAAATTGACTTCAGAAAGTTGTCCTCTAATCTCCACACATGCCCCATGGCAAGTGTGCCCCCATCTCTCTCTTCTCTCTCCTCTCTCTCTCTCCTCCTCCTCCTCTCTCTCTCCTCTCTCTCTCTCTCTCTCTCTCTCTCTCTCTCT